TCCATCCATCCATCCATCCATCCATCCATCCACCCACCTTTCCATCCATCCATCCACCAATCCACCTACCCACCCACCCATCCACTCTTTCTTGAATTTCTCCCTGTGTAGAGTTGCTAATATGCAAAAAAGTTGACAGGGTCCCTTCTTACAGTTTGGGTGAGGCAAGAAGGAAAAATCCCCAATCCACGGAGGGGAGAAAGCAAGCCAGCCACTGTGCAAAAATGTGCCTCCAGACCATGCCCTCTCAGCACTAGCTGAGAGGTGGGTTCCACAGCCTTCAGACTCTTGGTGCCTCTTAGAGAGGGCTCGTGGGGGAGGAGGTGGCATTTGGTGGATGGAGAGGAATTAGCCAGAGGATGCATACCCTCCCCCAGAAGTCTTTACAGCAGGATGCAGAAATGCAGATGCACACAGGGGCCCAGCTGGAGCCCAGCTCTGGGAGGCAGGCTGTGTGGGGGAGAGCGGGAGAGGGAAGGACGAGTTAGCAGGGACTCACATGCTCTGCCTAATTTGGATGGCCTCTGATTACTTCCAGCCAGTGTTTCTGGGGCTCGTTTTTCAGAAGAAGCAAGAATCTAGTATATTATGGGAAATTAGCAGGCAACCGAACTTGAAAAAAAAATTATTTTAACACTGCACAGACCAAACAGACCATCCTTAAGTTAGGTGACTCAGCCTGAGTCACTAGATTGTAGCGTCTCCCTTGAACACTTGTGGAGAGCCTTGCCGCAGGAATACCGCCACCAGCCCCTGCCCCGGGCCTCCAGGGTGAGAACCACATGCTGCCTGGGGTGGGGGTGGGGGTCCTGGGGTACCAGGCTGAGCCACGGGCTGATTCTGGACTTCGTTCTCTCAGACGCCAGTAGAGAAAATGTCCTGTCAGCCCTCACTGGTACCTTAGAGTCCCTGGCCAAAGCTCAGGGTGACCACGCAGCCCTCAGATTCTTCTAGATTGAAATGTTCCACTCCTCTCTGACCTGGCTCTGGTTCCTTCCCTGTCTCTCCACAACCCCTCCATGACCGTGTGGGGACAGCGCCCCATGTCCCCAAATCTTCCACATGGTCAGGGGTATACTTGACGCGTTTCCCACTGCCCAGTATTTCCCGCCCCTAGCTCCCCTGCCCACTCCTCGGGGAAACTCTCAGGGGACAGTAATCCATTATAGCATTTGTTTGTCCACTTTAAAAGACAGACAGACCGCCAAAACTCCATTTCCTCAGTTTTTTAAAAGGCCAAGACGGGCCAGGCCTGCTCGTGGGTGCCCCCTAGTGGCATCTCGTCTCGTCTTGCCCCCTCACGCCCCAAGCTGGAGGAGTCCTGGTGGAGAGCAGGGCGTCTCAAAATTTTCCACCTCGGGCCCTCTTTACACTCTTTAAAATTATTAAGCACCCCAAAGGGCTTTTGTGCAGGTTATAGTATCTCTATTCACAGTATTAGACACTAAAACTAAGAAAAGTTAGAAACATTTATCAATTCATTTAAAAGAAACCCATTACAATTTTGACATAAATAACATATTTTAGAAAAAAACTAATTGTATTTCCCAAAGCCAAAAGCATTTGGCGAGAAAAATATCATCATTTGACCTTTTTGCGACTTTCTTTTAAATCGGATTAATAGACCAGAACTGGATATACACATCTCCATCTGCATTCCATCAAGTTGCCGTCTCACACGTCACGTAGTCTCTGGAAAATTCCACAGAGAGTGAAAAAGGCAAATATTACCTGAGCATTATTATGAAAATAATTTTTACTTTGGAGCCCCGGTGGTCCCCGGACTGCACTTTGAGGACTGTTGGTTGGTTTGGGGGCAAGAATATGATTCACTGTAGCCAGACAGCACGGGGAGGCTGTGCCTCAGGTCTGTGCAGGAACACGGGAAACGTGGGCACTCAGCCCCTGGGGCTCCTGTTGCAGTGAGAGCCAAGGTACCCATCTCCCCCCACCTCCCCCTGGAGCAGGCTGGCTGGGTCCTCCTAGTCCCCGAGGAGGCTGGATTCTGGCTGACCTCCGCCATTCCCTTCACGAGCCTCCTCCGGAACACAGGTTGAGAACAATTCCTGTCTCACAAGATGGACCTGCTGCAAGGACCTCCGAATCTCTGTGCAGTGAGGCCTTGCAGTGTTGCTGCCGATGAGGGAGGGGCCGGACAAGACAACCCTAAATCTTCCTCAGTTGTTTCTTGATTAGCTCGTTGACTACTTAACTGAACTATGAAGTGCTTGCCGTATTCTAGAAGTTCCGAGGGAGTGCGTGGCCCTCCCGGGAGTTAGATGACCTGCTCTGTGGGCTGTTGCATCCGCTGTGGGATGCTCCCATCATGCTTTGGGGCATTCCCACCTGCTCTCTTGACTTCCCCCTGCCTTCTCTGCTGGGGGCACTTTCACTTCTTGCTGCCTGTTTCCTGACCCGTGCTCTGGGTGTGCTTCCCTCATCTGTAAAGGCGCTTGTTCCTATGTGCTCTGTGAGGGTGCTCCCTTCCCTGTGGGGGGCATGCCTATGAGCTGAGGACACTGACCCATCTGTTCTGTGAGGGTGTCCCACCTGCGGAGGGAGGGAATCCCAGGCTGCTGTCTGGGGAGCACCCATCCTTCTGGGGGAGTGGTTGCATGCACCCACTTGATGGGGAAAGCGGGCCCACTTGCTCTGGGAGGCTGGGTGTGCCCAGACGTGATGTGGGATAAACCCCCTGTGCCCTCCATCCCTGGAGATGGGAAGATCCCTAGCTGCTCTCTGGGAAGAATTTCACCCCTCTGTGGAGGTTCTCCCACCTGCTCTGTGGGAACAAGAGCATCACGTTGGGATGGGGGAGTCCAGCAGGGATGTGAGGCTCCTCCCCCTGGTTGGGGAATGGTCCCACCTTAGTGCCGCCATGACGGAGGTGACACCCCTCAGCTCTGTGCTATTGCATCGGTCTCGGTCCTGGGAGCAGAAGTGGCGTCTGCCTTGGGTCCAGGGAGTCACAGGGAGATCCCAGGGCTGTGGAGCCTTCCCAGTGGGAAGGACCGAGCCTGAATGGGGCACACTGCTGCCTCCTCCCCCACGCCGAGCACAAGGGGAGCATCCTCTCCTATCTACACAGAGTAGACCTTCCAAGGACTCTTGCCTCCACGGACACACTGAAGCTCTGTCAGATTTGGAGGCAACAGAGATGATAATTCCCCTTATCTTATAAGGGGGGGAAGTGAGGCTCAGGGAAGGACGCTGACTTGCTAGGACCTCACAGCTCCCCGGTGACTGGGGCTAGAATCCAGACTTAGCATTTTATCCTGCAGGGAATGGGGAACCATTGAAGGTTTTTGAGCAGGGGAATGACAGTCTGATTTCTAGAAGATGACTCTGGGGGTGAGCTGTCACCCAAGGGAGAAAACAAGACAGAGAAGGTGAAGGTGGGGGTGCAGCTCCCCCTTCCTCTGCGGCTGCTCTGCCCTTGCCCTGTCTGTACACGGAAGCCATCCCTTCCTTGGGGCTGGCCCGTGCGGCCCTGAGTCTGTCTGTGTCACCCCCAGGCTGTGTGGCCTGCGCACCCTGCAGCCCTATGCCGAGAGGATCCCCGTGGTGGCCACTGCCGGCATCACGGTCAACTTCACGTCCCAGATCCCCCTCACCGGGCCCGGCGTGCAGGTGCACTACGGCTTGTACAACCAGTCTGATCGTGAGTACGAGCAGCCCGGGGAGCGGGGCGGGCGCCCCTGATGCCCCTGCAGCTTCTCCCTGCCTCCTTCCCATCCCCGGAAGCACCGAGAGGCTGGACCAAAGGACTGTGTGTGTGTGTGTGTGTGTGTGCGTGCGCGTGCGCACGATACCTGTGGCTCTGTGTGTGCCCCCATAGGCAAGGCTGTCACCTGTGTTCAGCAGGCATACACACTCATACAGACCTGTGTGTGTGCTGCGTACATGGGACATGTCTGTCTACATGCACCGTGCAGATGGGTGTGTGCACACGTGGGTACGTGTGTGAGCACGCAAGAGCAGCATGTCTGCACGTGTCTGCATGATGACGCGCATCCTGATGGCGCCCTCCCTTGCAGCCTGCCCTGGAGCGTTCCTCTGCTCTGTAAACGGACTATGTGTGCCCGCCTGCGACGGGGTCAAGGACTGCCCCAACGGCCTGGACGAGAGAAACTGTGGTAGGCAGCCTGCCCGACCCGTCCCTCCTCTCTCCTTGCCTTCTCTGTGCACCAAGGCGAGCCCCCCTTTTTGAATAGAGACATCCCCCCACCAAACGTGCAGCTCCTCTCATCAGCACCCAGGAAGTGGGCTCTCTCGCTGTGCTGAGATGGCAAGATGGAAGCACCGAGTCGGAAAGTGGGCTCCCCAGGGCCACCATTTGGGGAGGTAGCAGGGACAAGCTGGGGACCCAGGTCTCCTGACTCCCAGCTCCCAGCTTCTCCCCACCAGGCCATCATGCCCAGCCTTCTGTCCCAGGCAGCTGTCCAAGAAGGAGCAGAGTGGATGGAGGACCAGGAACGGGAAGGCAAGCCCTGTGTGGCCAAGGAGAGTCCTGTATCTTCCTCCCTTGAGTGGGGTCCCCAACCCTCCACTTCAGGGGTTTGGACTGGAGCTGTCAACTCTTCCTGGAGTTATGCTTGCCACCGCCCATCCCTGGCAGCAGGGGCCCTGGTGGTCTCCGAGCCAGGACTCTCTTAGAATAATGCCTCTCCTTCTGAGTCCTGGCTTTTGGCCCCCACATTCACCATCAGGGCAGCCTTTTCTTGTCTGACCTCCCCCAACCTCCCCAGACCTCCCCCAACCCCATCCCATCCAAGTTTTAAATACCTGGGGAGAGAAGCAGGAGGGAAGGGAGATGTGCTGGGGAAGGTGCCTCCTATTTGGAACTAGAGCATCTGGCTTCAGGTTCTGGCTCAGCCAAAAGGCCTTGGACAGGTCATTTCATTTCTGTTCCCACCCATGAAACAGGGGTATCTCACAAGGTTGCTGTGAGACTCAGGTGTAAAGTAGCTAAGAAAGAGACTTACGGCCCTAGCATAGAATACAACACACGTGCTACAGACAGCACGAAGTCCCAGCCCGGCTCCTCAGGCTTCCTCTCACCTGCCTCTGTGTGTCCCCACGCAGTTTGCAGAGCCACGTTTCAGTGCCAAGAAGACAGCACGTGCATCTCACTGTCCAGGGTCTGTGACAGGCAGCCTGACTGTCTCAACGGGAGTGATGAAGAGCAGTGCCAGGAAGGTAGGCTGGGGTAGGACCAGCTATCCAGAGGGAAACCAAACAATGGGCTCAGCC